ATTCAAACATCCATGCTTTCAGTCCGTTGCTATCAATATCTCAACGACAAGGCCCAAACTGTTGTCAGTTTACTGTTTCATGGTATCGATGGTTAGGTCAGTGGTACAATTCAGACACCTACGCTTTCAGTCAATTGCTAATTCCGCAACTGAAATACGAAAGGCCTAAAGTGCTGTCGGCTTACTAGATGGAGATTTGTCAGTCGGGCCAGTGGTTAAAATAAACTTCCAACACCATTGATTATGGCACTATAGTGCCAGTAGAACCAACTTTCAATCAGTGGTACTTGTTAAGCGAGACACAGGCAATAGTTTTCACATATGAAGCTGATCAATTCATCATCAAACTGGTATAGAGGAACCTGTATAAACTGAACAACACTCTGAACATTCTATAGGTGTTTAACATCCTATTAACAGCTATGGTCATTTATGGACATGCCAGGTTTTGATGGTGGAGGAAAGCTGGAGTTCCCGTAGAAAAACCACTGACCAACTGCCAGTAGCTTGCGACTGCCCAATATAGGCCTCGAACCCACGACCCAGTGGTGGAGGGTTAGTCATAGCAGAATGTTAGACGCCTTAACCACTTGGCCACCGCGGCCCTCTCACATTCTATTAGTTCTATATATTAGGGATATTGGCATGACTAATCACAGAATTAGACACAAGACATAAGCCTAAATGGACTGCTTAATTATACAGAGAGACACAAGAAGTCAGCCTTTGACAACTAAATTTCCATTGATTTCTAAACAGGTACTTCAAATTTAAAACTTTAAGCTTCATTATACAATAATCTTAAAATTTAATCTTAAACTATTTCAAAATTGTTAACCTAAAAAATTAAACCAACATGTTCTTGGATCAACAATTTTGACTTTTGGACAATAACTCTAAAAATTCTAAAATATCTGCAGAAACTTCTGAAAAATTATGAATTGGAAATTAAATTAAACATTTTGTTAAGCTTGATACTGTCCTATAATATTGCCATTAGATCTAAATAAAATTAAAATGTTTACCCTGTATTATCTGTGTGCCAAATTGAGTGCAATTCAATATCAAAATGATGCAATTATCTCTTTACAAACTGATATTGATCAGGCTAATATGCATTCTAATAAAATTCCGGAGACTAGACCAATTTACATATTTCCCTTCTCCCTATTTGTATTGTAGATTTAAATGTTAATTTACCACGGTAGATATACTTGTATGTTGCACATGTTTAAACTGATTGTATTATAAGAAATGTTTCAATTTGGTTTCGTGACTTCTTTTTCAAACTTTAAACTACCGTTTTTTTTGTATGTTTTGATTAATTATGTGATCCATAAATACAACCATCCCTTGCATAGGCTCACTAGTGGGGCAGTTTTTAGGAGGTTTTTTGTTGCCAACTTCTATTGACTTCAGTTCTGAACACGTAACTATATCGGGTGTTCATTATGTAAATCTGTGCAGAAACCATTGCTTCAATCTTCTGTAGAACATCTATCAGATTAATTGCTCTATACCATCTACATGTACCACTAGCATGATAAATTCGTTATCATGGGTTGTTGTATGAGAATACTCAAGAAGTTGAGGACGATTTGAGAACAACTTGAGAAGAACTTCAGAACAGATTTTCCCATTTCTGAATTTATTTTCTCAAAAAAGAACATTGCACGCTTATGGATAAAATCTCGATTCTACCTGCAGCGGCCACTCAATTTTATCCAAGTGTTTGCGATGACAAAATTGCTTTAACAACAAACCCTAACTAGAACTGTTGCCTATGGGCTAACTAATAACTTGGAAGTTTGTTATAATATAGTCTGCATAATTGGCTACGATACTCTTAATTATGTATATGTGTATACAAAATACCTACAGCTTCCGAGATAATTAGCCATTTCGGTAACGTAATTCATTCGTGACATTTGACCTTTCAAAGCACGGAAAGTTGAAACCTGACAAAAAAAAACCCATTATGTTACACATTATTGCTTCTAGGATTACCATACCAAATTTAGAAGGAATTGAATAAAAAAATAAAAAGTTCTTATGTTTTCTATACAATGTCATGGTCTAGAGAAGGTTTATAAACCAAGGGCCATAACTTTGTGAAAAGGGGAGATAATACAATGAGCTTTATGCACATCTCCAAGCTGCAAGGATTGTTATCAGCAAACTTCATTGAAATCCATCCAGTAGTTTAGGAGGGGTACACGGTACTACATTGCGTCCACAGACAGACGTATGCAGGGTGATTGAATAGCCAACCATCTGATGACGGTGGGATAGAAACAACAGACGTTTAGCCTAAATCAGTCCTCTCCCTGAGGTCATTTCACTTTAGCATGTAAAGTCATCAAAATTACTAGTATGGCATTTCAACTATCAAAAAGTGCCTTTAAGAAACTAGTGTGTATTTTCCTTGGAGTAATTTAATATCTAAATCTTTACTTAGGTGAGTTTACACCTTTTCAATGTTGGGATACGCAGTCCAAGTGCATGAGATACCAAGCTATGCTATAATCTGTGCAGGCCATGGAAGTCTTCTATCAAAAGTCTTAATGCAGGTGACTTGACAGGTTTGAAGACTGATCATGAGGCATGGACACTGCTGTGAATGGACCTTTTCGATGTACGTAGTTTATAGTATTACAATTATACAATCCAGGTGTGTTTTGTATATTTGACATCAAGGTTTGAGGACATTGCGGTGATGTCCAGTCAAAGATCAGGAATCAACCTATAGATCATACTTCTTATTTAAGCTAGTATTACAGTTATACAATCCAGGTGTGTTTTGTATATTTGACATCAAGGTTTGAAGACATCTAAGCCAGAGTTTTAGTAACACAATCTAGGTGTGTTTTGTATATTTGATATCCTGCTGGTGTAGATCTCAAACAAGAATGCTTAAATCACTGTCAATTTATTGAAACATTTATAGGCCCAAGAAACGCGACACTTTAAACAACAAGATTTATAAAAATATAAATCAAGATCCCAAGACACCAACCTCACAGAGGGGTACATACAAATGTATAACAGTATTAATACTCCAGTCAACAATACTCATTCTATCAGGAACTTTATTGAAGTCCAAAGGTATTAAGTTACCTTATTCTCAGTCCTAGGGTCCTATTACTAAATAAGGCTGGAACATTTACAATGCTATAGAATTTACACCAATAACTGTGACTGAAAATTCAGTGTCCATTGATGTGGGTTTTTTTTTATTAAATCTGAGGACTTTGATAAAAATATGAATTCTTCAGTTCTAGCTATTCCATAGGCCTTGAAAACAGAATTTCTAGGCTAATTAATATTAAGATAATTAAGTCTACTTCTATTTAAGATGTGTGTATTGATGATTATAAACAGACTAATCTAGAGTATACCTATGTTAAATGTATGATGACAGTGTGCCAACTGATTCCCTGAAAGAGTACAAAGGCTGTTTCTTGTCTTCATGTAGAACACATGACCACCATTTTACCCCTTCATCCGACTTATTTTCCAAGTTTCCAGAGTTACTAAATACCAACAATAATGTGTGAACCACTGGCCTCTAATCAAGACAACTGGCATTTATCAATGATTGTCCAGGCACTTACTACATCTTACACCAAGTCTGAGTATTTAAATGCTGGAATTATAAATTTCACTGAACATTTTTTATAATTTCAAATTAGTGTCCTATCTTACATCAACTTTTTACAATTTCTGGATCTTTTTCAGTAAAACTGTGGTGAGCTGGAGTATTATAAGATTTTCTTATCCTGAGTGTCAAGTATCCTATCTTTAGAGAAAGATACCAAAGTATTTTCTTGAAGGGAAGCCCATAGACTGGTCAGCTGTGCAATAAAAATTAGGTGAGAGCAGTGGCTAATTATATTATATATTACCACCACCTTCACCCCCCCAAAGAAAGAGATTAAGCTTCTCCTCACTGGTATCTGTCCAATTCACAAAATCAATTTGCTTTGGCCATTGACCGCTGCCACTAACCCCCAATACAGAAGTAGCATTACAGCCTCTTGTGAGGACAAACAAAGAAGCAATACCACCCTCACAAACTACTGCTCTGTTTGTATATCCCTCAATACTTCCTGTTATACCTGTTTATATCCTCTACTATTATGAGATATGTTCCCTAGTATGGGCCTCATTATTGAACCACCTTGCAAGTTTGACCGATTCTGTAGCTTGCGACATATTTTATAATGTCGGTATGAAAACAATACCACAATCAATCCTTCAAATCATTCAGTCTAGCAATTGACTGCACAAATTCAATAATTCTAATACCGACTATTGGGTTAAGCGTTAACCGTGTATAACTTTAACATCCCTACGGTTGTTTGTATAGTGGCTTCTGTTTTTAAAATCTATCGAGGAACAGTGGCTTGGTGTAAAATGATAGATATTAACTATACATACAGTTCAAGACCAGTACAGGGAGCTTCCTGACGCAGCCTACAAAACTCTTGACTGTGTAGTAAATGTTCCTGGTTTTGACAGACATAATTAAATCTGTATTGATGTCGATAACAATGTCTAACATACAAATCTCTATATATGGAGGTAAATAGTGTACCCACAACAGAATGTACATTTCTCATAACAAAATACAGTTACACATAAATAGTAGATTTTTTAATCTACTATGAGATGATCATCATGATTTATATTGAAGCACAACATTAGTTGACAAAATTAACACCCGAAAACAGGTTCTCGTGGGTTATAAAAAGTTTTTTTACACAACCAATAAGATTTGTGATAATAATAACTCTTATTGGTTGTTTAAAGAGAACTTGACATAATCCATACTTACCAACCTGAAGAAAATGTTTAGAAAAAGGTTCTCGTGGGTAACATATAAAAATTATCAAATTTGTAGGCCACTTACATCAGTGCGACAGTAGGTACACCGATCCCCGTGTGTATTGCTACTTAAGGTAGCGTTTGTCGGCTGTCTGTCATTGGTATCCCAACCTTTAAATCCCCAATAGGTCTTTATCAGTGCTGATTACAAAGATGGCTCTGATACCATCCAACTTTCGACGACTTTCGGAATTTAAATGACCACATAGGATATACATCAGGGATGTGATAATTGGATGTCTTTGACTGTTGGGAAACTCTGTACAAATCTTTTAACAGATTTGAAGGTTTGATGGTAAAATGATCAGCAACTTATGTCATACACATGTTATAATTCCATTTTTATGTTTTAGCAAATGGTACATTATATACGTTGTAACAGTTGTGAATGTATGATGTATAATCTTCTAGATTAATATGAAATTATTTATTTTTGAAAAACAAATTTCAGTATTCGAAATTTTACTTTTAAATCATTGAAGTTTGAAAATCCATTAGGAGCCGAGTTATTTGAATGGTTTTATTCCACACCCGCTTACTCTCACGCTTAACTGAGCTGACTCTTACAGTATACTGGCGTTCAGTGAAACACGCAAATACAGAGAAAAGAAATCAACTGATTATTTTTTGTTTCCAGGACCAATTACTTGATTTTAAAACCAGATTTTTTCATAATGTGTCTTTCTTCTTATAGTTTTCTTATTTAGAGGAAAAAGATTTTAAAGATAATGTACCGGAGAGATAGCTGACAGGTACAGTGTTATATTGGTTTTCCTTTTACGTAGTAGAGACAATGGCAGATGAGTGAGAGATTAGGCGAGGTTTATACCAGTAGGTGACGGGTAACGCTCCAACGTCGGGGCAAATCTAGATATCCTATTGATTGGCTGGACCTCATAACACACCTGAATCTTATACCTATACTTTCACCTGTGTCTTGCACCTGACCAGAGTGTTGAAGTAGGTCATATCTGCTGCCTGCTGATTCAGGTAATTAGGTCTCCTATAATATCATATAGTACAGAGCTTCAGAAACAGATCTGGTTACCTTATAGACAATTACCATGTAACTGTCTCTGAAGGAAACCAACTTCTTCTACATTTTGTAATATCTGGCAAAGTACCTTATGGGGATAGTTTTACCATCCAAGTATAAGGCAATACCTGTCTTTAGAGATACTTACCTTAAATGGTAGATATAGATCTATCTATAGATCTACAGCTTAACAACCAGTCACCTCACAAGATTTAAGTAGAGTTCCTACACTTTTCTACTATATATAGCATTGAAATGTTTCTTCCTGTTAAATTGTTATATCCCTATATTCATACAAATTACACAACCACAGGTTGTTGACCTTTCCAGTAAAATATAACATTCTGAAGTTATTTCCAGGAATGTTCCAAGAAAGAATTGACTTAACAAATATGAGGAAAATCCCACATGTACCTCTGGCTATATCCCAAAGCCACCTCTAGCTATATCTCAAAGGTACCTCTGGCTAATATCCCAAAGGTAATTCTGGCTATATCCCAAAGCCACCTCTAGCTATATCTCAAAGGTACCTCTGGCTAATATCCCAAAGGCACCTCTAGCTATATCCCAAAGGTATTTATGGCTATATCCCTCATGTACCTAAGGATATATCCCTCAGGTACCTCTGACTATATCCCAAAGGTACCTCTAGCTATATCCCAAAGGTACATATGGCTATATCCCAAAGGTAATTCTAGCTATATCCCTCAGGTACCTCTGGCTATATCTCTCATGTACCTCTAGCTAAATCCTAAAGGTACCTCTAGCTATATCTCAAAGGTACCTCTGGCTATTTCCCTTCAGTACCTCTAGCTATATCTCACAGGTACATCTAACTATATCCTATAGGTACATCTAGCTATATCCCTCATGTACCTCTAACTATATCCCTCATGTACCTCTGACTGTTTCCCTCCAGTATCTCTTGCTTTATCCCTTAGGTACCTCTAGCTATATCCCTCAGGTACATCTTGCTATATCCCAAAGGTACATCTGGCTATATCCCTCATGTACCTCTAGTTATATCCTAAAGGTACCTCTAGCTATATCTCACAGGTACATCTAACTATATCCTATAGGTACCTCTAGCTATATCCCTCCAGTATCTCTAGCTTTATCCCTCAGGTACCTCTAGCTATATCCCTCAGGTACATTTTGCTATGTCCCTCATGTACCTCTGGCTATATCCCTAATGTACCTCTTTAGATATATTCCTCATGTACCTCTGGCTGTTTACCTCCAGTATCTCTAGCTTTATCCCTCAGGTACCTCTAGCTTTATTCCTCAGGTACATTTTGCTATGTCCCTCATGTACTTCCTGCTATATCCCTCATGTACCTCTGGCTATATCCCAAAGGTACATCTGGCTTTATTACACCTCTACTTTATTTACTCTATATTAAAGTAATTGGTTAAATCGAATATATCCCCACTTTTGCCTGAGTGTGTTTTAGTCCTGTGTGTTAGTCTGTGAACTAAAACACACCTACACTCGGGTGTTTCCGCCGAGCCAATCAGGCGAGAGGTGGGCGGAGCTTGTTACCGAACTCGGCAGTGACGCGCGAGGTGGGCGGAGCTTGCTGCCGAACTCGTAAGCATTTGGCTCCATTGCCATCAAAAGGGTATTTGGGACGTGAAGCTATACAGCTTATGGTTTACAAATATTTTCTAGTTAAAACTATCTCTCCAGTGTGTATCGGTATAATAAAACGGTTAAAGTATGGGGTTGAGGCATATATAGCAAGTTTCTGGTGTCCCTTGACCATGCCTATTTCCCTCGGCTTCGCCTCGGGAAATAGACCTGGTCTCGGGACACCAGAAACTTGCTATATCCCTCAACCCCATTCTCTAACTGTATAATATCCCTCATGTACCTCTAGTTATATCCCAAAGGTACCGCTAGCTATATCTCACAGGTACATCTAACTATATCCCAAAGGTACCCCTAGCTATATCTCACAGGTACATCTAACTATATCCTATAGGTACCTCTAGCTATATCCCTCATGTATCTCTGGCTATTTCCCTCCAGGATCTCTAGCTTTATCCCTCAGGTACCTCTAGCTATATCCCTCAGGTACCTCTGGCTATTTCCCTCCAGTATCTCTAGCTTTATCCCTCAAGTACCTCTAGCTATATCCCTCATGTATCTCTGGCTATTTCCCTCCAGGATCTCTAGCTTTATCCCTCAGGTACCTCTAGCTATATCCCTCAGGTACCTCTGGCTGTTTCCCTCCAGTATCTCTAGCTTTATCCCTCAGGTACCTCTAGCTATATCCCTCAGGTACATTTTGCTATGTCCCTCATGTACCTCTGGCTATATCCCTCATGTACCTCTAGCTATATCCCTCATGTACCTCTGACTGTTTCCCTCCAGTATCTCTAGCTTTATCCCTCAGGTACATCTAGCTATATCTCACAGGTACCTCTAGCTATATCCCTCATGTACCTCTAGCTTTATCCCTCATGTACCTCTAGCTATATCCCTCAGGTACCTCTGGCTGTTTCCCTCCAGTATCTCTAGCTTTATCCCTCAGGTACCTCTAGCTATATCCCTCAGGTACATTTTGCTATGTCCCTCATGTACCTCCTGCTATATCCCTCAGAAAAAGTATTTATATCTAACACATGCAAACAGGAACGGTTGAAAGCTGTTGTAACATCAATAATTAACAATTAACAATAATTAACAATAATTAACATTTGTTACATCAAACTGTCAAGTTTCTCTGACATACTTGAACATTATAGATTGTTAAAGGATTGACACCAGTGATAGTGTGCAAGCTTGATTACTTATCTCTGTTGGTTTGGGAGGAAAGAAACGTACTACTGTACCCCACTGTATGAGCTGAATACTATGACATTCTCGTATTGCATAGGTGTAGTGTGTCATACTTTATGCAAGATCGTCAGATATACGTATACGTGATAGATATCTGTAATACAGTGTAAATCACTCCATTTTTGTATAATGGTGTAAACTAACATATATTGACACACCCATACTTCAATAAATCGGTCTCAATTTCTTAAACTCAATACATCATGATTTATCACTAGAATTATAAAAGCATGCAGGGATATGGTATTTTGCCATTTTCAATATCAGCAAACATAAATAATCTCAATGTAATTCAAAATTGTGAGATTTTGCTTCAAATGATTTTTTTCACGTAATGATTTGATTTTGCTAAGTGAATTTCAATATGTACAAATAAATCTTACTTATCTATTTGAATACATGAAGTAATATGTTAATACGTCCATGCAAAATCTATGTTAAAATAGAGATCCGCTGAAAAACAAGTTACTTAACTGAACACAAATATAAAGATGTCTATCGATAAGTCAGTTAATGAATATTTCATGACTTAATCATACAGGCATGGTCTTGTTCTTCTGAATCATAGCTTTCAGTCACCTGAAATTTGTTAAAAAGTGTTTACAGTACAAATTCATGTAGTTATTTTGGCAACCTGTAAGTGAAAGTTGATTTAAAATTCATTGGATCCTAATATATACATGCATTATAAGAGTGTAAACGATATAGTTGATACTTGTATTCGTACATGATCCATGTTACTACAGAGAGTACAGCATATACTGGGATAGGGTACGGTTTCTGTGTACATGTAACATTGGTCCAATAAAGTCAAGCTAGCATAAGTAATATATTCAATCATTATTCAAGAAATCAGTCTTTGATTATCGAGGTTAACTGTTTAAAGTTTACAGAAACACAAAGGATGTGCATAGTATTAGGGGTTAACCCAACTGTATTTTGAAATTTGTGTCAGTATATCGTGATTATACTGTCGCAAATTGAGTTTTACTGGCAACGAGGAGTGGAGCCAGTAAAAGGGATATTTGCGAAAGTATAATCATAACATACTGCCGCAAATTTCAAAGGACGGTAGGGTTATCCCCATCCTAATTAATACATTTTGAGAGTTTTTATCAAACCCCGGTCCACTCTGCTGTGAATTTGTGATGTCAGGAATATTTAAAGGGAGACGGAATTACATTGACCTTTCAAGGTCACGCTATTGTTCTTGACGTTATGGATAATCAATTTCATGATGTGTCCGGGTCAGTCGAGGTCATTGACATCATTAACAATCGCCATCCCAGCTTCATAAACAAATTAGAAACTAGAAATGTCTGTAAGACATAAATGCTTAAAATACGATATATTGCATGAAAATTGACAAAACTTCCCTTAACCATATTTCTATGGCAGTAGTGATTTTAAGTCC